TATATACATATATATATATATATATATATATATATATATATATATATATATGTATATATATATCAATTATGTTTGGCATTCTATTTAAATTCCGTATAGATTATCGATTTTGTGAGGAAGTGATGGATGTACCTCGTGTTATTAGTCATACGGCCGGCTGGCCAATACTGTTTAACTTGGATGACGCACCGTAAATCTTTCGAAATTCACCACCACGGGAAGCGAATATGCGAACTTTGAACGTTGTTGTTTGCATTAGCAGTTAGCGTTATTCTGACCAGTGAGGTAGTCATTGTTTAAGAAAGAATCCTCGTAAAAAGGACTTCACAGATATGCATTGCCGAAGTGACTCAAGCCAGTCTAAGGTGAAAACAATTTGACACTGCGCTGTAAGGGCTAGATTTAAAGTCTAAGTTAGGATGCCTCAGTAATCAACTAAGGCAAATTAAGCGCGTTATGGCACGGTTTGTGGCGACATGTGGGCATTACCCCTGAGGGAGGTCTTAATTAAACCTTAAATGCACCAGCTTTGAAGCAACCAACAAGGAATTGACTGTTACTTTCAAAGAGCATCATTGGAAAAAGGCAAGAAGTTGGACCAGAGTTCCTGCAGTTGACTCAGATTCCATTAATTCGCAAGCGTTCTATTTTACAATAACGAAAGTAGGAAACGTCGTCACTCGCGCTTTTTTAAAAAAAAAACAAGTATACGTGAATTAGACAACGAACAAAATGAGGGGGTAGAGATGGTATTTGCAAACTTGTAAGCATTTCAAATCTAATCGCTGATACGCGATACATTAATTCTGGCCTTACTTCTGTTGGACTTCAGCGTGCTTTCATCAAGGATCGTGATGAAGTTGGCCAGCAGATTCGCAATTTTTAAAAAAAAACACTCACTGCCTGGTCCACTGCCCAGGACGTGAACATCAACGCAAAAGATATGCGGTTTTTTAATAAGGAAGAAAGTGTTAGTCAATCTCCAAGTTTGTTTGTGGCTTAGCAGGTACCATTTAACCTTTTTGTAGATGTTTCATTCGATGTTACCTGTCTAACTAGCCCTCTAATTGACTCCTCGTTATAAAACGTGATCGTTTATCTTTTTAAATGTGCACAGTATATCTTGGAATAATTCCATATTCATGACGTTGCTCAAAAGCCCTCATGCAGGCTGCCTGTTCTTAATGCAACTTGGGAGTAACCGAGTAGAACTAAATTCAACTGTCCTTGCAATTACCGGAATTCAGTTTCAAAATAAACAAAGAAGAATTCATGCATTACGCAAACTTTGGAAGGTAACAGCTCCTTGGTAGTCAGTATTTTGCATTAATCAGTGCGAATTCGCAAGAACTATGTCTGCAGACAACACAGTGGTGGCACGCTCCTGTGGACTACCTTACGTCGAGGTTATGACCGATCATTTTGTGGCCCAAGTGATCGATAGACTCTCTTAGGGGTGCAGCAGCATGCACTGCTTATTGCTTGAATCTGCTTTGATGGTAAGGAGACAGGTATTGCGTTCACCGAACATATCTAGATTAATTGATTTGAACTTGGTCAAGACGGGACCTGCCCATCTACGCACACCTCCCTTACGAAGGATATGAAGCTTTGGTGAGTTGTGAACGGGTCGACTCAACACAGTGGCCTTGGCGTGGCTCAAGACCACACGAGGAGTCCTCAGAAAAGCCTTCTTCTTCTTCGTACGCCTCTTCCAGTAAGACAAGTTGCACAGCAATCCCGCCTGGCCTGATATCTGTTTAGTGGTAGGAGGTTTGATTGCATGTTTTGAAGTTGGTTGGTGCCAGAGAATGCAACTGCCTCCAATCTCGGGCATTCTAAAGCGGATTCTTGTAGACTAACTAATCAGAGGATTGACGTGCGTTGCAGGAGTGCTTATCAGCAAATCAGCTCTGCATTTGCTACTGCTAAACACTAGGAAAGTCACGTTTCCTGCTTTGATAAAAATACCACGCGTCAATACTGGGGCCGGTGGGTGAATTGAGCAGTCTACGCCAATCGGAGTTTATAAAACGACTTATCCATCCTTACTTCGTATTGAATTTTGATGCCTACGGGTTAATGCATGGCTCACTATCATATTTAGCAGTCCAAAACACTTAACTTGTGGACTACAACCAACCGACCTCTCTGCTAGCTATAAGAGGTAGCTATGGAAATGTACAGTAAAAAGATGTGTCCGACACTGCAGTGTGCCGTGTAGTAGGTTACGAAGGAACTTTTTAAAATAACCAGGCCTAAAGAGCAAATTGAACGGGAAATCGCTCAAGTCTATTAAAGCTGCATCGGCGCAAGCAGTTCGTCAATATTCAACGCCTCGAATAACGTCATGAATAAACCAGTACACGTGATGTAACCTGGCTACTATTTATTAGTGAGTAGAGAGAAGTGTCTTTTTGCACTTGGTGCTTGAACACGTCTAACCCTTGCACACCATGAACGTCTATGACTTTCGTCCACAGGCAATAACAAAACCGACGTCAGAAGGGAGCCCCCTTTTCAACAGACCCGATACTGCACAGAACAACCCTCCCACTTTTTGAGGACGCCTTCTGAACAATTTAGTCTAAGCAAACTAAGAGAAACCATCCACAATCCGTCGGAAACGAAATAGTCGTATTGGTCATCGCCACAACCACTACCCGGCTTCTGAAAGATGACCCACCCCCATTTGAGATTTCAGTAATGCCCACACAGACATTTCGGGGCTCGAAGCTTTCTGATAAACATTAGGTATTAACCTAGTAGAATCCGTTGCTTAAGCAATTGCAGTAGAGCCAGGAATAAAAACGCCCATGGAAATAGTCAGTAATGTGTAATTACTGTATGGTCTGTACAAGACAACCGTGCGCACGTTGTGGTGGAGGTGCATTGCACGCAACCTAAGTTGTTCCCTTCCGACGACGATGACGCTTTTTGTTCGCGTTTTTCTTCTCCTTCAGGGAAAGCGAACGCTCTCCACCGCGAACCGAATGTGTCTGTGGCGGCACCGAGTGTGTCTGTCCTGGTTCGTCCTCGTCTGAATCCAAGTCCACTTTCTGGCCGTTGTGGGGACCACGGACTGCGTTTAGGCTCCTATGGAGACGTTGTTTTTTGGGTAAGGTAGCATTTTCTTCGATGTTCTTTGCCTTTTTTCGTTTCTTCCCGCTTCCATTCGAAGACAGTTGAGCACCAGTCCCCGCTTTTACTTTGAGTTTCTTTCCTGCCTTGGAGACATTCGATTTTCCGTCGTCCAATCGGAGCAATTTTGACGATTTAGGAGTAACCACAGGTTCTGCATCGCTATCAGATTGCATGGAGCCCATTGTCACATCCTCTCCGCTGTCCACCTCATCAGCCATTGCGCCAAGATCTGGATCTTCTCGCATGATCCGTTCGCGTCGACTACTACCGCCTTCGTCACCGCTGTCACTGTCGTCGAAATCGTCTATGCGAAAGTCCTTGACCTCGTCATCCTCAACTGCATCTTCTTCACCTGAATCTTCGTTTAGCGCAGCGTCCAGATCAAATGCACCGTCATCTGAGTCCTCCTCGTCTTCTGATTTGGCCGTTTTCTCCGAACGCGAGACATGAGCCACCGTGGTACCATCGTCCATGTCGTAGGAGGCATTACTGTCAGATTCATCGCCATCATCATCGTCATCATCAGAGCCGGAACCGCCTGCACGCCTCCTCTTGCTGCGCTCTGCGCTCGCCCTCGTCTCGTCTTCAAAGCCATCCCCAGCCTTCATGTGTTCTTCGCCCTACAAATGATTTAACCACACAGTGCGAATACACTCAGGGCATTTAAAATTACCACATTCCCATTAACCGATCGCCCCATAATCAGAATCTAAGTCATGAGCCACAGCGGACGAAGGGTAAACGCATGGAAACAAGATCGTCACAGAAACGTTGTGGGTAAAAAAGTTTGCCTTAATTTTGAAATTGGAGTAGGATAATGCATTGAATGGACAGAAACCTGTTCCGCGTGTTCATAGCCTCACACCATTCCCATTCCAAAGGCCCGGTCTAGTAATCTAGGAAATTGTTACTCTAGTTGCGTGGAAAGCATTACTGTAGCAAGCAACAGTGATAGGGTCCTGAACTTGCAACAAATTAAGATATATCCTCTTAACAAAAGCATCCACGACATGGTTCCTTTCAGTTGGCATCAGTAGTAGGAATGTGCAAAAGGGAGCGTCATCTTCCGGTCAATTATGCGGAATGGGTTTGTGCATTTAGTAGGGGATTAGCGCATCACATTGCTCACCTCATACTTGAAGCGTTCAGTGAGGACGGCAAGTTCGTGGGAACGGACACTTCGGTGTACCAGATAGTACGCGAGAAGAGGAGAGTCCAGCTGACCGAGAGCCGACTCAAGATTGGCCTTGAAAGAGAACGAAAGAAAGCATAAAACTGTGAACTCTAAGTGCACCGAAAAGTATTCCCGATCAAAATTGTAAGACCAATGACGATGACTGTAGCTACCACGGAGACTGGCAGCATAACTAATAACCAGGTAAGTAGAGGCATTGGTTTCCAATCACTATAGTGCGATTGAGACCAAGCTGCTTGTTACTACACGCTGAGAAGTGTTGCTTTGGTCCTTTGGTTCAAAGGAGTTGACGAGGCGCTGTCTTGAAATGCGCCCACTGAAGTTGGAGTTGAGTAGGATTAGAACAAATGGAATTTTCCAAGTGACCTCTACGGAACATTGATTATAGTGGAATGGAAATGAACGCAGAATCGTTATTTCAGTCCTGAAACATTCCAATTGTAATCAAAACACCGGTTTTTAAATCAAGGTATGAGGGAGAACAGAAGTAGTACTTACTATGGCATTCGAATCCATTAGGCTTTTGATAGATGATCGCTTCCTTTTCACAAAATCGACGTGTTCAATGGCTTTGGTTAGGAGAGACTTAAAATTTCTAGCGAAAGCTGCGACCCGACAGGATTTCAAGAAGGCTTTTATCTACGGGTAAAATTAAGGAGATCTGAAGTAGCTTCAGCTAGGAAACACGAAATGTGCTAGCATTGGTGAAATGATAAAATCAATTTCAAAAACACACATGAAACAACCAGAATCGACTTCACCCAGACTCGAATAAGTTGCTCATAAGAACAATCACAGGTGAGTAGTACGATTAGTTTAGATCACGCATGAACGAAGTTAAATTGATAAGACAAGCGCAAAAATTGCATTGGAAGAAGCTTATGACTCTCAAGATTCAACAACTAGCCTGTGGGAGTGGAAAAAATACAAAAAGTATTAGCAATCAATGATGCCCCCTTAAGTACAAGTGCGTTACCTCAGATATAGCGGGAGCAGCATACTCAGGAAAAGCAACGGAATTTGAATAAAGACACAGGGACTCGGTGAGAAGGTCATGGAGCCAAGAAACTACTGCATCCAAATAGGCTGTTTCCTTGCGTTGTGATTGCGAAAAATGCAGCATGAGACGCAAATCCATGGGGGCCCTTAAATGCAACAATGTGGTTTTGGAAATATGGGCACGGTTGAGTGGAAGGAATGTTGAGCTGACCAGCCTTCCTATCAAAGCCTAACGGCGTAAAAGCGCATTAACTGTTAAATCAGGAGAATTTGTTTGTAACGGAAGGGAATGAAAATAAATAAATATTTGAGGAGCCGATTTCTATGGATTCTGACTACCTTCAGAGTGGCCGAAAACTTGGGTTTCTAATAATGAGGGCTACTTTAAACGAAAATTAACCTAGTCGGTGAGGTCTATGATAAAAAAAGTCATCACCACTTTTTGCTGCATTCTGGTGTTCGTAAGATTATAACAATTAAGTGTTATGGAAACGTACTTGGATGCAGAGCTGGCACGCTTATTAAAATCGACCAGCTGGAAAACATCAAGGAGAAGAGGAATGCTGGGAACAAGAACTGTCCTAGTTAAAGCTTTTCCTTCTTGGGTTTCAACGTTACGCAATCGTTTGTCAACACCAGCTAGCACATGAAGGCATTCTACGCAGTGAAATCGCAATGGGATCCAACGGCTACCGGGACTCAACCTAAAGTTAAAAGTGTGAGCGTCATTTCACAAAACAAAAGTAAAAAACTTATTTGCGAGTTTTACCTTACTGCTCCCAAAATAACCTGAGTTAGGGGGTGAATCAACGTCTTGATAAGATCATTAGAAGATCTCTGAGCCACAAATTCGCACCAAAATTTTAGACTGCAGATAAATTGCCAATTATAGACTGAACGGCATTCCTCCTAAGAAAAAACAAATTTATGGATATAGAAACAGTAAAATACCTCACCTTGCCGGCATGAAGAAAAGCTTTGCGAACAGCAATAGCTAGCTGTCTGATGAAAATGAACGCATGCCTATAGGCTTCCTCTAGCTGCAACGAGTACACTTCCAACAGACCATTCTTCATCAAATTGTTTTTCGCGATGCTATTCCCGTAAATAAATTTAGAATTTCTGACGTATGTAATATACATTGACTAGAAGAAAATTACAAGAAAAGTAATTTTACCCGAGAACAGGAACTAAAATAATCAGGATTTCTTTGAAGAGTTTTCACGATAATTAAAAGGGCAAGCACCATTCTGTGATCATCATCCTGACTCCAAACAATGCAGACTTTCTAACAAATAGGAACTGGTTCAACAAATACACACTTTAAGCATTGACCGAAGTAGCTTTGGTCGCTTTGAGAATTTGTTCACATTGTCTAGAATCACCTTCAGGTCCAATATATCGTTCTTCAAAACTTCTTTTAACGAACTCTAGAACAATTAAAGAAGAAAGCTCTCTTACCATCTTCACGCCCCACGATTTGTAAGACCTGTGACCTTTGTCGTCAATTATAACACAGTCTGAAAGTTCCATTCAAATTTCTCTGCCAACATTTTCAATAACTAAATTTTTAAGCAAATTAAACGTGCTACTATTCACGAAATTCACGTAAAACTAGGCTCAGACAACTTGTTTTAAGTACCAGGTGTGGATTGTTGGATACTTCCAAAATAACAATATCCAATTTAAAATTTCAAAAGGGAGACTCTACACCAGGAAATACATGCAGGAAAACCAAACATGTTATGGCGGCTTTAAATAATGATTTCACTTACACAGATTACATAGGGTCAGAAGGAAGTTATGTCCAAGTAAATGCTTGAAACCCCTGGCATAGAACTCTGTTAAAAAAGGGGTATTTAATTCAATACTAATTTTATAAATTACAGCTAAAAATTCAGCAGTGATCCACCACTTTAACATTGCAACTTAGTTGTTCGTCCATAGTTAATTCCCATCATTTAATTAAAACTGCAATGTTGAAAAACTTTGACTCTTTTCATGTCTGTACGGCGTGGATCCTAATGAAGACTCTTAAAAGCACACTTTACCATGTAAATTATGCCTTTTACATCCATTTTAAAGAGTTTTTTTGTTGATTAAAGTAGGTCCTGACGGATATTCAAAATTTTGTGAATTTGAAATACACTCTGGTATCTTTCCTGTAAAATAACGGACCTCTGATTCTTCCATGGAGGAATAAACCATATTTCAACCAATGGATTACCATTTCGAAACAGGTAATACAATTTGAGCGAAAGGGTTGATGTTTGTTGAGGCTTAGACCATGATTACGTTTGCATTTCAGAGGTCTAGAAATTTCAAAATTAATAGAGTATTTGGCAATTTTCTGCCTAATCCGATTCACCGGTTTAATTAACGCCTAATCGAATAAAGGGAGAAACTTATGAGGATCTCAGAACATAAAAAAATTATTTTAAAATATCCGGAGCCATTAAAACGCCTTACACTTACCATATTTTACGTTTTTGCGCTAACCCAAACTATTTCTGTATTTACTGCTTCTCCATACGTGCAGCATTCTTAATTTAAAATTACGGCGAACTTTATAATGCATGTAATCCTTTTCATGTTATCAAGTGTAGATATTGGGAAATGCACTAAGATCTACCAGTAATCCTCAGATGTAATTACCACAGAATTTGATTTTACTGAAAATGCCCAGATTACTTGGTTGCATGATGCTACATTCCTCTAGGGGTGCAGAGTTATGAGCATTATTACGGCTGAATTGCATGTGCCTATACCATAAACAACTTACACGGGCGTCGTTCCAATTTAGGAATCACCCCATATGACACTATTAAGGCAATTAATTTGCGTGTTTGCCTATTCATTGCTGGGTCTGCAATCATACGCTAAACCTACCACAGCTACGACTTCAAATTCACGACTGTCCTCCTCACCCACCAGTGTCTGCTTTCTTTTTTAGCCTGAGCACCTCACCAATTTTAAACAACACTGTGTAGTTAAACGACCACGTTACTCACAGCTCGTATAATCAATCATCTTACTTTTATTGTTCTAGGTCCGCCTGCAATTTCAAATCAACGACAATCTTGTACACAACACTAAACTTTCTACAACCCAGTAGCAAGCAGTCGAGTTTCCATTGTCTTAGACACTACCTCGAGGTATCTGCCTTCCATATCTGTCGTCCCGGTGCGCGAATCGAAAACACGTCGTGGGTCAAATCACCCAATAACCGCAACTAGAAAATGTTACGTGATAGTTTTGGGATGGTCAAGCATGACAGTTTCCTTGAACATTGACATCAATGGTTGAAATGTTGCAGATCCAGCAAACTCCGTTCGTATGAAAAAAGACAGCAAAATGTAGAGTGCCGAGAATTCATTGCTTTGTTTACAAACCAGAAATCATTTGAAAGCTCAACGGAGATTAAGAGAATTCCGCAAGGGTTATTAAACTAAGCATGCAAGAAAGCTGCCAAGTCAACGTCACCAGGCATCCCAGTCATCCACGTCGCGAGAGGCCGATTGTTTCTGTGCAGCCGATGCAATCTTGGTGGATGGTTGCGAGTTACGTCCAACAGAAGGCGATTGGGAGCTCGACTTCGAGCTGGAGAACGGTGTTTTGGCTTGGGTTTGGAGGAGTTCCTCGAAGAAATCGACATCCGAGGCCGGTTGGGGTTGGGCGACGTGGTTTTGTCGCTGCCAACCGAGGAGCGTGTCAGCATTGCGGGATGTGGCCGAGGCTGCAGTAGCCGCCGCCGCCGCCGCCGCTTTGGGTGAAGATACAACGGGTTTTTGTCGACTCGGGAAAGTCCTCTTCTCGCTTGAGGGAACTTCAGATGCGGTCCAGACACTATCCTCCTTCTCCCAATCAATAAGTGCATCTTTCTTTGAAGCTGTCGAAACAATAGGAGGGCTAAGGGATTGTTGCTTGCTAACTTGAGAAGATGTTGAGGAATTTTTCGACCGGACCGTAGAAGGCTTTTTTGAGATACGATCAACTTCATTTGTATCCCAATCGATTAATGAGTCGATTTGCTGTTTTGGTGCTGCGGAAGAGACCCTATTTGCAGCGGGAGCAGGAGATGGATTTTTGGACTCAACCGAAAGAGAATTAAGATCGATTGTGAGTTCCTCATTATCCCAACCCATGATACCATCTAAACGCAAAAAAAAACAGACCAGCAATAAGCAGAACCGATCCGGCGATAATAAAAGAAAAAGAATACAATAACTAAGCTCATTGGACTCAATTCTGCTATGTTTACGAATGGGCGTTTAATTGGGCTATTACTGTTCCCTTTCGGCAGTCCTACTTTGAACACCAGCTTACCCGCATCTTTGTCATCTGAATCGCTCCAGCTCGACTTCCTCGCCTTCTGGAACGACGACGAAGAGCGGTTTGTGTGTGCCGTAGATGGTGACTCCTGTTGTTGGCTAACGACCGACTGGTGGTCCGTGTTTAACCTGGAGGAACAAGGCGCCGACGCACCTAAAAACCAACGCATCGAAGTGCAAGTTGAAGTGAGGCTGGAATACTGTGAGAGGGAAAGAGCGATGCTCGAGAAAGCAACGCAGGGAGGAATGAGGCTTTAGGGTGTACCTGATGGTTTCTGAGGGGGTTGGGCGGACGCAGCAGACGACGTCGACGAGGAGATGAGACGAGAAGATATGGACGTCAGGGCGCCAAGTGCCCAGTTGCCGAAACTGACTCCTGCAGCCGTCAGCTTCTCTCCAGCGGCACTAATGCCGGTGGATGGACCTTCACCTGTCACTGACACATCTGGTTCACTGGCCGTTGGGTCTTCGCTGGCCTAACATAGTGGTGAATTAGAAAACCATTAACAGCACCCCACCACATCGCCTAAAATGACACAAATCGGCCGAAGTTAACGTGATCTTCCAAACACAGTACTACCTAGCATGTTCTTTTCCAAAACAAACGGGCACTGGTACATCTAGTTTAGCCTCGCACACTTTTCCGAAATCGAAATCATCGAGTCGATTTTGCTCAATTCAGTGATAAACGATCCCTGTTAAGGCAAAAACGACTGGACCGAAACAGGCGGTTGCAGAGCAGTGGGCAAACGTACCCTTTCCAGGCGATCCAGCATCCCACGCAACACTTTCAGGGCTGTCTCGCGGATGTCCTTTTCTGCATCAACGGCCACAAAGGATAAACAGGGGATTACCTTCCCCGCCAACTCTTGTGTTGAAAAGAAGGCCTGAACACGAAGACAAAAACATGGATTGAAGGAATGGACAACAATTAACTACGGTAGATTTGAGATCGTGGGTGGCAGTCATCAAATGTCAGCGCCCAATCTCCTACACTCCAAAACACAAGCATTTGATAGCGTGTAGTGGGACAAGAACCACAGTCCGATAGACTAGGAATCCCAGTGCAGAAAATGAGTTATGGGTGAACGGTGGTGATGGATTCAAGAATGTGTCGTAGACTAACGTGCTGTCAACATACCTGACAGGCAGCAAGACTGGTGACGGCCGCTTGACGACTCGGGGCAAAGGGATCACGGGTAGCTCGCAGGAGAGCATTCAAAAGAGGCCCGCGTCTTACTCCCGGCTCCATACGACAGGCCAACTTGGCGAGGCAGATAGTAGCATTGGTTCGAATACCACCCTGGTCGTCTTTGCACTAAGTCCAAGGAAGTTAGAGCATTGGGTTAGTTAGATCCCAAAGTGGTTTAAAATCTGCATGTCAGTGGAGCAGGACGATGCCACTAACCTGCAGGTTAATTAGATGGCGTATTAGGGCATCGTTGAGGATTTTGGGGGGCAGCGTGGGAGCCAGGTGGACCATGGCTCTGATGGTGGCCTCGCGAACCAATGGGTTTGCGTCTGAAAAACCCGCGGAGACCGGAGGAAAGATTTGACTCTCGACCACGGCCCGGGGAAGTTTCTCGACAAAACGCGGCAACTGGTCAAGAAGTCGAACGCGCGTGGCGCGATCCGGGGCCGCGAAGAGCCGCACCAGACCCGGAAGCACGACCACGTCGAAGTCGGCGGGTGACAGGAGGTGGGCAAGTTCGAGCACCGGGACGAGAGCCTCCACACCAGCGGAACCGAATTTGAGGCTGTTTACCAAGTGGGGGAGGATCTACAAGAACAAATTACCGGAAGAATGGTCTACAGTGTACATATTTCATTACTTAGCGGTTTCGTGCCAGTCATTTTAAGCTGCTGAATAAGGATCATCATTGTCTAATATAGATGGCAATCCCGAAATTAAGACTTGTCAGAAAGAAGTAAAGTCTCAGGCGAATCTACGAGAACTCCTGAAATTCGAGGAACCAATTTGTGATCTCATTGACATGGACAGGTGGGACGTACGCCAAACACTATCACTACTAACGTATTAATCAGCGTTTAGATTACGCCAATATAAAATGCATTCAGGCGAATGTGCTAAATGCGAGTAGAAGCACATGTGCGATAGCCTTAGAATTCGAAAACAAAATGCACAGATACCGAAGTCAACTTCCTAACTTCCACAAATTAACCCAAAAATAAAGAACCGTATCTGTTAATTTTAAGTCACAATTGCACGCCGCCTACCTTGTAGCGGCAGATATCATCTGGGAACAATCCCACGGCCCGTTGGCCCAAACCAGCCAGAAACTCCGACTTTTCCTCCTTCTCTTTGAGTTGAATCTCCTCGAGAAAAACCAGGGTGGAAATGTAGTCGTTTTTGAAGAAATTGACCTTGAGAAAAGCCGAGAAGGGCGAGCGAGCGCGCGATGTGGTGAGGGGTATCCGGGTGGACAGAAGGCGCCGATACGCAGTCACGAGTTGCTTGGGGAGGCGTTCGAGGCTTTGCTTGGAAGCGAGTTGGGCCGGCTCGGTTAGACGCTCGGGATTGAACACTTCGTAAATCAGGCACGCGAGACCCCAGGCGTCGACGTAATGTCCACCGGGGGCACTGTAAGCTGCTGCATTTTTTGCGGAAAAACAATACGTACGTGAGTTTAGTGATTTCGTGGGGTGGGGGGGGGAGGTTAACTACATCATTGACCTCCCACATAAAAGTGGGCACCTAAAGGAACCGCGAATCGCTTACAACAGGTAGACACGCATTAAGCCTAGACTTGCTTTTAACGAACGTTGCACAAAAATTATGCACAAAGACTAACAGTTGGATTAGCCAAAAGCACTGACTAGGTTACCTACAGTTTGGTGATTGCAGAAAGTAGGAAGATACACTGCTGCTGTTACCACAACCAAGTGTCTGATGGTTCACGCTGATGATCGGTGTCATATTTTGGTGCCATCAGTAACTAAGCAAAGAGGATAGACTGAGTGGCATACCAGGTCTGGGAATGTTGACCGCCTGTTGGCCAGCTTCACTGAGCGGAGTGCAAAAATCAAGCCGCCCGAGCTTCCACTCGCCCGAGCGGTTCACATAAACGGACGACGCGCAGACAGCATTGTGCGAGAGTTGGCAGTCGTCGTTTAGAAAACCAAGAGCTCGAGTCACCTGGTTAATGGCAAAATACGTCTTTTACGTAAATAACGCCGCGTCAGTAGCAATGTCCTACCCCGAGTACGTTCTGATTTACTCTAGGAAGTGATTTGAATGGAATTTCGGTAGCCGGTGGAAAGGATTTAAAATATAATACACGGAAGAAACCAGCTAACTTGATGCCCCAACCCCAATTACCAGGCAAAACCCCTAGCCAGTAAACCAAGGACTCCAGCTCAACCACGTTAACATTCCTGGAATCCACATGATGAAGGGTAAGGGACCAAGCGCGTAGGGATTCAGAAGGCAGTGGAACTGCGGGATAGAAATTAGTTTAGGCTGTACAGTCAGAAGTTTGATTACGAATGACTAATAAGCCAATGCAAGTAAACGATATACCTGATAGATACCCCAGGATGCCAGATAGGTAAAATTGCTGCTGTCTGCCTGCCCACGCAAATACTCACTCAGGGGCACGACATATTCGGTAACAATGTGAAAGACGGAAGCCTTTGATGCTCCAGTGGCCTCAGTTCCCGCCACCCAGTTGAGGATGTTAGGGTGGCGAAGAGTCTTCATCTTTTTTGAAACCTGTGCTAAGGTGGTCAGAGCAATGTCCCGTGTGGATGGTGGCAGGTGGCAAGAAAACACAGTAGCACGTTCGCCAGTTTTCCGGTGAGTAGCTGATTGACGAGACCAGTGAAGATCGAATGGGCCGCTGAAGCCCTCGTCGGAGGTAGGTGAATCAAGGGTGTACCCTGCAAGCGGATCATCACTACCAGAACCGCTGCCGACGCCGAGGACAGCACTTATCGAACTAGCGGTGGTTACGCCATTCGAAGACTTGTTTGAAAATAACCACATTGGTGTCTCTAAAACAAAGTTACGAACTGCCAAAAAGGTATACAGACTTTAAGTAACGCATGTGGTTTGGGTGAAATATTGAGATCCCATTGGACCTTCTAACAGGGGATCGTATACCAACTCATTATTTCAGGGGCATCCCATCATCATACGCCTTCGGAGCCTAATAAGTATAGCTGAGTGGACTGAGAATGTGGCACATCAATTTTACTACGAGATATATATCATTTTCTTAAAATCTGTTAAAAAAATAAGCTGGAAAGTCAGAGCAATAATCAAATAAAGAAAATGTCGACAACGAATTTCCCACTGGTCACTCAGAACAAAAACATTGGTAACAACTTTGGTATAGACGTTGCAACAGTGTAAAGAAAAAATTATTAATTTGGATTGGATAAAGAATACCTTACATTAAACATTCTATGCACTGAAACGGGGAAAACAGGAAGCCTGATTATGTCAAGTAAAGTGCTGAGTAAAGCTAAATACGACAACACCACTGATTCGACAAAGGTTAATGTATGTGAGTAAGTATAAAAAATTGAATGATAAATTTTGCTATGCTGAAGCAGGAGACGGCCACCAAACATCACCTGTGTTATACAACGAAATATTCCCGATCATATAGCTGAATTCAAATCGTGTATAAGGTTTTAGGGACGCACGAACATGTCATGAAGTCGGAAAGATATTTTTACAATGGATATACATTATTTGATTAGTTAAGGATAGAGTGCGAATACCCTCGAACTTAAAATTACAACTTTAAATATGCTTCAATCACAGCATGCATATATTACAATTAGGCAGACTCAATTTAAAAAAACCCTAGATCGAATTCAAGTTCGGTTTGAAAGAATTGCCGGGCTTCATTCAGTAACATTCTAAAAACTAAAAAGTCAGACTTTTAGATGTAGAAAATTGGCTAAATACAGGCACAAAGCTAATCAACGAGTTGTTTTGCACTTAAACCACGAGAAATCCAGGTTTGTGGTGTTAAAAAATCGCGTCCGAATTCAACGTACATTATATTTAACTAACAGCCGCCCAGTACTACGTGACTTGCGAGATCAACTGACAAGCAAATCGGAATGCGTTAAACGATGAGATACAATATGCACCACACGACCAACATGCATCGAAAAAAATGAACACTAAAAAGCTTCCAGTAAACATACATGGGTCAACGTACTGTAAAAACTACAATATGTATTAAAATCTAACGTAGAATATTTATAAAGTTGACAAGTAGAGTAGTTATAGACACCGATTCCAAGAGCCACAAAACAGCTTAAATTCTCTTTTACACTTAGATTATAGTGAAAAAAAAGTAATTAAATTTATTGCGACTATTAGACAATTTAACCCCACCTAAGGAGAACGAACTGCTGGAACCCCAATATTTTGAATTACTGGCTTCTAAAATATTGATTAAAAGTCATTTCTATTTACACAACTTTGGACAGCGTAGCAAAAATACTATGGTGCTTTTAAAATATTTAGTGACATCGTCTTAAGCCACGTAATATAATAAGGGGGGTTATTTAGCCATTAAAGTAAATTAGAATAATTTTAATATATAAGGGCCAATTAATCGTGCACGTAAAGCATTTATCGCATTTTGCACTGTGCTTCTGACGCATAAAGGTCTGTAAAAAGGTAAATACCGAAAAAGACATTATTCGTGATTGCGTTCGTAGCAGTTTATTGCATAATTGATCACTACGCATTTCCTGGATTTCTGGTCCTAATATTAGCTAAAAAGCTAAGTTAATCGAATCAGTTTAGCATTTTGGACTCTTTCCCTTGTAAGAAAGGTGTAAGTGAATAAGTGATTTACTAAGTTGACTTCAAAATCAAAATATGACTCAGATATTTTCATGACATGTACAACACTAAAGTTAATTTTATTGCTTGCATCTTCATTTTCACAATGGATTTTGAAAATAGAGAAATTTGTTAAAACCTTCTCTATTGTGCATTTCAAAAACGAATTGGCTCAAACTTCTTGAACTGGTAAACGGTTTTCGTTGCTGAATTCAGAGACAAGCTGATAACATCCATGTCAAAATTATAGGGACTGTGCACCTTTGAGCCTCAAAAAAGAGGTATCGGTGTAGGGTTTAGGACATAAATACACCTTTTATTGCTTATTGTATCTTTACAGGAAAATGGATTTCCATAAACTATCCTTATTTATAAAAATGGTGGATTGACAATTTATATCCAGGCAGTTAAGGCAACCAAATTATTTCAATTTTAAAATTTAAAAAAAATATATAAAACACCCAAATTGTCCAAGAAGACCTTATAGCACATCGACACTAATATTTACTTCAGAGCTCAACTAAGTTGGTGTCGTTATTTCGTGTCGTGTATGGTATTTTATCGCGTGATAGTATAGCCCAGTTGCGTGAAACAGCGTGAGTCATAAATTTGCTAACATCAGGACCTAGTTGAAAGTTATCAGTGTGCTGATAATCCAAGATAATCGTTCGCGCCAATGAGATATGAGTCGAAGTCTTGTGTGGCTAAAAACACGCTGAGAAAAGGAGTGCGTTGTGTTGAGTAATGGAGCGACCGGATATATGAGAGCGAATTAACGCGATTCACAAAAGTATTAAATATATTAGGGTGCTAAAATAGTCGCCGAAGCGTTTTTGTAACCACTAACAATTTTGCAAATAGCCACATTGATTAATCATTGTCCCAAAAAAAATATTTTTTTTTAAATTTGCTAAAATAGCATCAGAAGCTATGCTTACCCGGCTGTCATAAAATTCGTTTAAATTTTAATGCCCATATCGTACCCCTCTTTCCATCTCACATTTTCGCGGTGAGACACTTCAGGTGTACTTCAAAATTAAAAATTCTAGCACGTTTATGTATGACTATAAATTCAGAGAAAGAGGTTTTTATTTATTAACCTGATTGCTCCCACGCATTTTGCATTTGAGAACTAATATTGTTGTAAAATTCTATGTTGATAGAATCAATATGCTATAATTTTGACCTTGATTAAAAGGGCAAACGACTAAATTACCGCAATTTATGCCTGTGGAAATAATATAATATACACCACACATTGCTTATTGAATGGCTCTTCATTTCTATGGAAACCTTACAGTGAATTTCGAAGAGAAATAGCCCTAGGGATCAAAGCCTACTACGATTGATAACGCGTTTCTTGTCAATTTGAAGTCTAATTTAACTACAGAAGTATCTGACTCAGCCCAGCAACAACAAAATATCCACCCGAAGAGTAGGCTGGGAACCTATGTCTAAATCCCTATTTTTAACAACGTGGTTGTTGGGGATCCACGATTCCCCAAGATTGGTTTCTGATTTTATTTACATTAATTTATTAACATCTGTTTTGTTACGCTTTTATCAAGTCAAGGTCAACCTTGACTTGAGTTAGTTTTCAAATTACTTTCGATTTCGCTTCTTCTCTGCACGTGGCTCACGTGAATAAAGCTCTCTACTCAAGCTCTGTTCTTGTTCTGGTATTAGCCTGGGAAGGTCGGTTCTAGCTGTCAGCAAGGGATCTGGTACCGTTATTTGAGTGGTATTCTCTCTTTTGTTACGGGCAAACGTAACAGTGGTATATTTTGAATACTCAGGCTCTACGCTCTAATGCGCATTTTGAGCCCAATACAACGATACAACGCATTACAATGCGACCTTCCATGAACTGTCAGTCATCCCACAGCCACCAACACAATTAACCCCGCTCGAGACCTCAATGTCATGCACGCATTTACCAGGTGCACAGAAAACAAGTGCGTCAAGACCACATTGTTCCATCGCGTGTTTTGAAAAAAAAGGGGTTTGCTTGGTCTGCCACTGACATGTAGCACAAAACCACATCCCTTAAAGGTTTTCTTGTGGGGCTTCTGGGAGGAATTAGTCATCATTAGCGACCACTGAACCTCCGTGGGTGCTGCAAATTTTGTAGTTTTGGCGCTTAGCGGCGTTGTAACTACTATGCTCTGAGTCTGATTCTACCGCGACTTCACGCGATCGAAGCTTAACCAATTACATTCGCGATTGCAAATAAAAGGGTGCCTTGGACAAATATAGACAGAACGAAGCAGCCGAATTCGAGAAAATGAGCGTTAGCTATATTTACGCCACAAATTGTAAGGCTTTCCGATATGCGCTGGTTCCACCTCCACAAAAGCCAAATTACCCAAACAAGTATGGCAGAAGCGGTATGAGTGGGGAAAAAGTGGGTCAATTGTAAGGTTTACAAATGAGGAGAGTAATGATTAGTCAAACTTGACAAAACCGTATATCTTCTTGACGAACAGGAAGCAAAAGAGAGACGCGATGCTACCTAAAATGAGGAGCAGTGATGGGGTTAACATCTGTATATCATAAATAGGTGATACCAGTCGTGAATGTGCGCTAAAACATAGTGGATGTGCGCGGTGGAATCGAAGAACAGCAGTAGATTTTTGCGCCTATCCTATACAATAAATAAACAGTACATGCGTACAATAAACACAGTTTTTACCACTATTGGGGACATTAAATAGTGTTCCAACAAAACTAGTACAGTAAAACAAAGGGTTATACGGAAATAACATGACAAATGTCCACAGGTGGTGATGGGCGAAAGAGGACACCAGTAATGAATAGGCGACACGGCAAAAGAGATTGCGGGCACACCTCAGACCCACAGTGAGTCCACTTACTGGGTCATGACCCGACCTAAGACCTCCCGCATCTCTCGGTGGCTGGCGACGCATTAAGGTGTCGATGCTACGAACGTTTTTTTTCTACATGAGTCGAAACTCGTGAACAAAAAACGGCAAGTACAAAATCCCCCACAACTGACCTGTTTTCCTTTTGGTATCGATTAATTAATTGAGGTACTGAGGTGATTTGCTTAAATAAGCATAGTATGTACCGAACACGTGCAGATTACAAATAAGGCCACTTGTTGGTGCTAGTTCAATCCATCATCGATGCTGAGTCCTTATTAACCGACTTACACACGACAGCCTCAATAGCTTAAACTAAACTCGGAACCCCACGAAATGCGTCAGTAACTCAACAATACAAAATCTAACGTCATCCAAAAGTTGTGCAGATGGGTGTGTGATTAATGAGATGTAAAATTCGCCACCAGGTGTCGCTTATTTCAATCAATGTAATAATTTTACAAGAGGAAAGAGTTAGGATAGATCTGCGTGAAGATTTGCCTCAGTTTATGCGGATAGTCAACAGAAAACGTGAAAATAATGGGGACTAAGCAGGAGTTGGCCTTGTTTAAAATGTCTACCATTAGCTAAAATGTCTGTAGATCGTTCGAACAATTTTGCAGAGGTTTTCGGAGTAAGGTTGGGGACATTAAAACAAGGTACCAGCAAAAATAGCCCGAAAAAATTCACCGATGAGGTAAATTTAAGCATCACATGTAGGTGGCCGGTAAATTCTGCCTTGTGTAAATAAACGCTTATGTGAAACACGTTGATGTTGAATAGAGGACAAAAAGAAGCCACTTGCAGACTGGGGGTTACGAAAAGCGCGGAAACTCGTGAATCAACGCACGAATGACCTTGACTTCACATTTTGACACGCTCCGGGAGCCAATCAACGGCAGCCACCCGGGCCACGTGTGCACTTACCGAGCATAATGAAAAGCAGACTGGCAGCCAGAGTAGAGAAGCCGATGTAGAGGAAGCCCGAGGTGAAGCCCCTGTATTCCGTCTTGTAGATGTAGTAGTGAATTGCATAGGCGAGCACGAAGACAGTGGTTGAACCGCTCGACACGAAACTACGCCACCACCATCTGTAGTCCTAAATTAAAGGAAAGTGGTGTGCCATTTAAATGCACCATACACAGCAACGTCATGTAGCATCCACGAGAGTAGTGCTTGTTTTCATAAAGTTATGAATAAGGGGCACAAAGCACAAAGTAACTTACTGCATGCAGTACGACAATACGCACCAGTCAGCGAACAACCCTAGGTGCTAATCAATCACCACAAGAGCACTGCACTTAATCACGCGTTGGATTAATAGGGTCAAACACTCTGGCACCGGAATTCAAACTTTCACAAGCACACAGAAGGACCAGAGCAAGAATACAGCATTATCATCATCGAATTTGATAAAACCATTTAAAAAACGCCATTAACTCGCATGAGTTTACGAATTTATGAACGAAAATGTAAACTCTTCCAGATAACGCGTGCAGAATATAAAGCGCCAAAATGAATTAGTGTTTTGAGTGAGCGTGATCGCTCGCTAAACCCTAAGCCAAAAGTGAGGGAATTTGGTAGACGCTAGTCCTGTAATGTGTGCGTTTAAGCGCAACCAGACTCACCCCAGCGCGCAGTTGAAGGTAGCACATGAGAATGGTGGTCTCGACGACACAAACCAGGAAGAAGACAAAGACGAGGAAGAGAAATCCGAACATGAAGAAGAGTTGCTGGCCCCAGATGCTGTTGAAGATGAAGAACAACTGGATGGAAATACACCCAAATGAGAGGAGGCCAGTCAGGAAAACCGGGATGAAGGTCCCGATGCAGTAGGACTGAGGGGGCACCTGTCGGGGAATCTGATTGGTTCGTGTTGGCACCGTGATGACCTAAGCAAGGGGGATCGCATTAGCCAGGTTTGCTGAAATACTCTTCTGCATGTGTGCAGTTCAGGTGGTGTGTGCGCCGAGGGAACGGTTTCCACGGGACAATTGCAGGTAATCAATCATCCCGGACTCCCACAGGGGCGTTTCCAAGCTTCACTGAAGCGCTTGACGACCAAAAACCAATCTCCGCAGTCTGATTGAGAAAACAAAGTCGTCGGCTGCCAAACGTTGTCTACAGCAGTTGGCCAAACGTCATCGAAACATTGCTGACCTGTTTAACAGGTTACTTTACTGCTTTCAAATCACCCACCACCCCAAATTCATACAGTATGTAACTGGTTATGAAAGTATACTATTTTCATGTTAAACAGCACACAGCGTATTTCCTATTTGCTATATAGCCAGTTTTTCCCTCTTTCAATAAACCGAAGGTAAGTATGTGATTGAACACCTGCTATCTATGTTGGTTAGCGTACTGGTTTGTGAGACCGCCGATAATTTTAATTTTCGCTAAGTAAAGCGCCTAACTGATAATATCCATAGGTAATCGAAGCAGCTGGACTAGGAATGGTACCTGGGAATTTCTTGCTTGCGCCAACTCCTGATAAAGCGGTGATTTGTTTCAATGGGAACGCATTGACTTATAGCATATCAGAAAAACAGTGGAAAGTTTATTTCTGATGCCGAAATGCTTGCTGATTTCTGTAGAGTCAGGCTACAGAGACGTGGGAAGACACGGAAGTTAAACACCGCCGAACCGAGCACAACTGGTTGATTTCGCGTCTGTTCGTGCTTTCGTAACTGTTTGGCACGTGACTGACACCAGTACGTACTACGTGTACCAAATGACGTATTTACGCAAATCGGAAATCATACCTCTAATATCTGTCGTAGATAATTGAGACAATGCAATAGGGGAAAAAGGGAAATCATTCAAGTGTAACAGAAATAATGAAGAAGCCTAGTAAAACAGGAAATTGAACGTAGCCAAATTTTGAGGTAAATGCGAGAACTACACCGACTACTTACACCTAATCTGAGTCATTCGCACCAAGACACAACTCCTTACGACAACTGAGGGCTTTGTGCACGCCGACTACGAAAGGTAATGTTAGTGAGTTGTGGAACAGAAGAGGCATGGACTAAATCAGGAGGGCGAGAATACGGAGGTCGACCCACCTCTCGCCTGAAGCCGAAAAATGAGCCGATGCAACAAAGCGGGAGGGAGACGAGCAGCCACATTGCGAGGAGGGAGAGGATCGTGGAGAAGGAGGCTGCCGCGGAGCTCTTGAGGGCAGCGAGGACAATGTTCAGGACGAGGAAGGTGACCATCACGAAACCCGGACAGAAAAGACCCGTTAGGAGGATATTCGTTTTCCAGTAAATTCCACCGAAGAATTTGTAAAATCGTGCCGACGTGTAGCCTACAAAAGGGAAATACGGCATATAAATACACACACACACACACATACACACTGAGTATACAAAATACACGAAGGCATAATTCACAAATTCCATCGTTGCAGCCAACAAAAGTCAAAATTGAGCGTGCCCAGGGGAACATTGCTTAGATCGCTTGTAAAATTCTGTAAAACATTACCATGGCAACGTCTTTAACGTCAAATCAACTATTAGTAAGTATGCGAAAGAGGTGAGGCCTAAAAAATGCATTTTCGAAATTGGTTTAACCTGATCTCTGGTATGGGGGAATAAAAGTACCCCAAAACAGTTAGATGAGAACTAAATTGTTGTGGATGGAAAGAGCGCCTATAAGACACGAAGCCGCAGCTAATCTGCTAATTTTGTCACGTCAAACGGGAATAACTAGTTTACAGTGGCAATTCTATTGAATGGACCACAACAAGCATGGTTTGTTCCCATGTTTAATGATACACCGGTAAGAAAAGGGAGAGGTATAATATGAACAAAGGATTTAGAAGGTAATACGGATAATTCAGAAAGTGAATTTTTGCACCAGTGAAAAATCCATAACACTAGACTTGAACACCCAGAAAGAGAAGCGTTTGTGGCGAGATCGGATCACGAGCGGTGTGGCGTGCTATGACGACGTAACAGGTGGATTCGCAGCTAGCGATTCAAGTCTCCCTAGCCAAAACAATTGCCCAAGTTTAAACCAAAACCATTGTGCCCCTAATTTGACCCGGATCGCAGAGGAATTTCGGTTCTGCGTAGGTCGCCCAAACGCAAGGGATTGTTGGTGAAAGTACCTTACCAGCAGGGGCCCCAAGACACACAAAGACGGCCAGAGCGCACGTGGCAAAGGCGCCGCGGTGTGCGGGTGAGAGGATGCCGAAGCAGGCGAAGAAAAGCGTGATGACCGACACCAAGGCCAACTGAATTCCCGAACCAATAAGAACCGAGAACAGCATCGGGTGGGGCGGTGCCCTGAAGACGTCTCCGTGGATTAACTTCCATCCGTAGTCTTCATACATCTCGTTTGACTAGACGATTGATGAAGGGAAAAGCAGTGCGTGAGGGACAGTCAAAACAGGGGTGAAGGCGTCCCGTATGGACAGGAATAAACGCGACATTTATGATCCCGAGTCGATGTTTACAAATTATGAATGAGCACACCATGAGGAGGCGGTAAACTGGTATTAACAGGGGAACTTAAAAACGCGAGTGATTCGAATTCTAAACCATCCAAATAACTTGGTGTGGTGCAGGAGAATATTTGTTTGGAGCCTGAAATACGGTTAACTACGTAAACACACTAAAATAATTCCACAAATGGGCTTCTCTGGGGCAGGCTTATGTTATCTTTATTAAAATGCCTGTCAATGCAACAACCTGAAAATCACGTCAGCGCGGAACCCATGCACTTAAGACAGAAGATTATTTAAAGTGCCTGATGAAACAAAAATACAGTACTTTTGACCAATCACCGTGTAGCTTCAGATGGTAGGTTTTTAGGTGCGCTGGCTCATAATGAGATAGAAAATCGGGTAACTCAGAAAACAGAGGCTGTTTTGACCCTATCTGGCGACACAGCGGGACCATTTGCAGAGTTCTTCTTACTGATTTTCCCAGAATGCGTCAAGCCCGAGATAATGCAGTTGTTTAAATACCGGTCGCGGTGTTGCACATTACCAAAAAAAGGTGGCAGCTGCACTAATCGAAAGATGGTGTTCGAAGGTGCAAGGGCGCCATACCCATGTACCTCTTTGACTCGTGAGGTCAAAATTTAAAAATAAATCGAAATAACATGATTCTTATCACTGACCATGAACAGTAAGCACGAGTTCCCAAGTACTTTGATAGCATACATACGCCGACATCGTGGAAGTCGGAATGCTGCCGCAAGTGCCTCTAATGAAAAGCCGTAAAAATGAATTCTATACAGGAAACTACGATAGGTTGTCCTAATTTTAGAACGTCGTGCGACAAGCGTTTGCATTCATATGTAGTAGCTGAGTTCAGCACTACCTTGCAACCCGAGAAGAAGGGGGAAAGAGGAGACAGAGAACACGACCGGTTACTGGTGTCACACCAGCCAAGTAGCCTTGTGTGTATATGAGGAGGCATGCGTAACAGGCGACCGCTAACGGGAGCCAATAGCAGGGAGTGTGGATCAGCATACACGCATCACTCACGCGAAGTGGCTGTCTGTTCACTGCAAATATCCCCTCCACCACGAGAGTGTTCGCTTTGAAACAGTATACGCTCGAAAATTACTGAACTAAATCAGCAAAACGGACATCGGGTCTCAAGGGTAGGTCGGATCGCTTCCTGGGTTGACTTGGCTAGCGGAAACGCGAAGTGGTGCGCTGTTGTTGTTGAGGCTGTCTAGATGATAATTCATCCAATCTCAGTGGGCCGTTGTCTACCTGTTAGCTGCTACATCAGAGAAGATCGTTCGATTTCCTGATCGACACTTCTGTAAGCTGCTGGGGCTTTGGAACGAGGTGACTGTGTTCATGTGTGCCAGGAGAGATTTAGTCCATATTTGACGCAGAACGGATTCACCAACCTTGCTAGCTCCAACAAAGAGGGGTATATGCCGAAGGAGTTGAGAAGGAAACCTGTCAATTAGTTCGACACCTGAAGGTAGGTGTCAACGACATGCTAAATACTCTCACCTGGTTACTACATTGAGTAGCAGACTAGCATACGAGGTTTTAGACGCACTGCTTCACCCCGACGACTTTCCTTACGACCAGTTAAAGGCAGCAATTCTGAAACGTACGCAACTGACCGCATCCGAACGTCTTAATCAGCTTTTATCCCGCAATAACTTGGGAGACTTGAGGCCTACCCAGATCCTGGGAAAGATGCATCAACTCTAAAACGACGAACCTTTGCAAGGTGGATTTTGGTAAGAATTTTTTTCTTAAACGACTTCCAAGCAATATTAAATCCATCCTTGCCCCCATGGTTGAATCGTCAACACTAGAACAATTGGCGGATACCGCAGACCTCATATTAGAAGCAACGAAGTCGACTCACATCTCTGAAATTGACCCAAGGCTCCCAAGACAATCGAATGCCTTTTCGTCCGTGGGCGCGTGACAAATATCTGCCTCCTTAGAGAGCCGCCTAGTCAGGATCGAAGCAGCAATCGACGCCTTGACAATCAACGATTCATGAGGGAGAAGATACTACACCTTATTTAGACGGAACCGCCCGAATTCTCGCCGAAGATCCTCTTCACGTTCGTCGTCCCGAGGTTTGTGTTGGTATCATGCAACCTTCGGCCGCGCTGCCCGACAGTGTGGGAAATCGGTAGGTCCGCTGTTCCAGTCTCGCACATACGGTCGGGAAACGAGAATGCTCGGCAGTAGTGGCGTCCATCGCTAATGGGCACCTAAACCGCCGCCGTTTCCTATCTGACAAGTCAACTGGTGTGCGATTCTTGATCGACTCAGGGGCCGACATATCCATTGTCCCTCAAACGCTCTCTGAAATGCGGTCCCAAACCCATTCTGTTTTCTCGGCCGCCAATGGTTCCCCCATCCCCACCTGCGGGCAGAGATCCCTCAAGCTTGACACAGGACTACGACGCCAGTTTTGTTGGGTCTTGACCCATCCAATCATAGGCGCAGATTTTCTCAACCACTTTGGTCTCCTTCTCGACCTTAAGAACAAGCGGCTAATAGATCCCCTAACAACTCTATTCGTACGATGTCCCACGCAAACTAAGCCAGAAATTTCTCAGGTTGCAACACTACAAGTTGAAAACGGACCCTTCCTGGCCTTACTGTGAAAATACCCAGATCTAATTAGCCCAACACACCGGCAAACCGAGGTCCGGCAGACAGTGACTGGTCGTCAGCGCTGCACATGGTTCCCAAGATGGCTATTTGTGAATGGCGGCCATGCGGTGATTATCGTGCCTTAAACGCAATAACAATTCCTAATCGCTACCCAATACCAAATCTGCATGATTTTTTGTCGAATCGACACCGAAACTCCGTTTTTTCCAGGTCAGATTTGGTACGAGCCTATTATCAGATCCCTGTCGAACCATCTGATATCAGTAAGACGGCTATAGCTACGCCATTCGGTTTGTTCGAGTTCGTACGAATGCCTTTCGGCTTACGAAACGCTGCTCAAACACTTTAGCGTTTAATCCACCAAGTATTATCTGATTTAGATTTTGTCTTTTCGTATATCGACGATTTTCTGGTTGCCAGTGAAGGCCAAGAGGAGCATGTGAAACACATGAACATTGTCTTTCGACGCCTTATCGAATACGGTTTGATTAGTAATCCGTCAAAGTGTGCCTTCAGAGTTCTAGAACTTGAATTTCTAGGGCATATCGTCTCCGCTCTAGGTTTAAGGTCCACTGACATTAAGGTAAAAGAGATCCGGGAATACCCGGAACCGAGGTCCATCAAGCAACTTCGATGTTTCTTGGACATGATCAATTTCTACCGCCGATTCCTACACAATGCAGCTCAGACCCTTCTGCCTCTAAGCAATCCACTCAAAGGTCGCTCTAAAAATCTAACCATGATCGAAGAGGTACGTGAAGCTTTTACAGCCGCAAAGAAGGCTTTGGCGATGACGACCACATCCGTATATCAACGATCAGATGCCTCTCTGTCTCTACCAGCCGATGCTTTCTTTTCGGCAGCTGGAGCAGTATTACAGCAAACCGTCAATGGGACACTTCAGCCGCTAGCTTATTTTTCAATCAAGCTCAACTAAGCTCAAAAGCGTTACAGCATCTTCGGTCGTGAGCTTCTGGCTACCTCCTAGAAGGTCGGCAATTCACGATCTACACCGACCACAAACTGCTGACCTTTGCAAACCGTTGGAGTTCGGATCGATCATCACCAAGAGAATTAAGACACTTGGATTATATGTTACAGTTTTCAACCGATATACGTCACGTCCAGGGCGAGGACAATACGGTAGCTGATGCGTTATCTCGTTCGCACATCGACGCTGTAAATACCGGTGAATACGTGGATTTCGAGGATATGACGATCATTCAGCAATCTGATAAAGATTTGCAAGAGTTCCTAAGACAAAATGCGGCCTTAGAGCTGGTCAAAACCCCTCCACGCGTACAATCGTCCGCGACATTTCAACGGGTGTGTAACGTTCTTTCGTACCTAAGCCGATGCGACGCCAAGTGTTCCAAGCCCTCCACGGCCTTTCTCATCCTGGTCAGCGTGAAACATGGAAACTGATCTCAAGTCGTTGTGTTTGGCTCGTTATGGATCGCGATATTACACAGTGGACTAGAAATTGTGTAATCTGTCAAATATCGAAGATAGAAAAATACTGAAAGACCCCTCTTGGACACTTTAACGTTCCAGGTGCTGGGTTCGATCGTGTACACGTTGAAATTGCTGGACCCTTACCGCACTCGAGAGGGTTCTGTTACCTTTTGTCTTGCGTTGACCGTTTTACCCGATGACAAGACGCTTTTTCAATGCAAGACATCTCCGCCAAAGCCGTGGCTAGAACATTCGTGGAGAGATGGGTTGCCTTATTTGGAGTCCCCTCCACCATCACCACAGACCAAGGAACTCAGTTTGAATCAAGCTTGTTCCAAAATCTCACACGACTTCTGGGGACGAAGAGCATTCGAACGACCGCTTGGCATGGTATAACGTTTTCACCGACAACTGAAAGCCGCTTGAACAGCTCACAGTGACCCATTTCGTCGGTCAAACGTGCTACCCCTCGCGATTCTTGGGCTTGGATCAGCCGCGAAGGAAAATTTGAGTTGTTCCTCTGCAGAAATGGTTTTCGTGTGAGAGCAGCATCATTCAACTTTTCATAGGGTTTTTCAGAAAGCATTGTTCCAAGCAAGTCGATAACTTCTGTGGCAACATCTCTCGGTAGCCATGCAACAACAAGTAAACATTTGGAGAACTGAGAGGTAGTCATTTGACTGCGAAAATGGGCCTCAGATCGTATAATCCAAACTCGGGTGTCGGGACTGTACGGGAGAAAGTTGACTGAAATGCTGTTTTCCGAGCAGAAGTTTACAGCAATAGGGTCAGTCATTGTTAACAGAGAGAGAGAGAGTTATTAATAACTCGACGGACATCACGAAGCAACCAAGTCAAAAATAAAGTGGTTTCATCACGTCGGGGTCACCAAATGTAGTAGAAGAGGCGACATAGAACACGACCGTTTATTGGTCACACCAGCAAAGTGGCCTTGTGTGTGGACGAGTACGCGTGCGTAACAGGCGAATGCTAACAGGAGCCGATAGCAAGAAGTTATCATTGCTACGGCCGGGCTAGCATACACGCATCACTAACGCGAGGTGGCTGTCTGTCCACTACACAGATGCGGACAATGCCCTGTGATTGTGGGTGACGCCATGCAACAAGAACTTGATTTTAGCATTCAAACCAATCAAATACCAACACATTCGCATATTCATAGAAAAAAAACTGTCTTTTCAGGCCAGCTAATTGAGATTCAAAATAGTCAATTGTTTCCTGAGTTAAGAAAATACAGAGATCTGTGCTAATGAGCTTACAAACCCGCTACGAGATTGGATGCGATAACAGATCCGACCTAGGCATTTATGTACGCATATCATGACCGCTAAAATCGAGCCGTATCCACAGCAATTGCGGATGTGTGGAGATTAATTTGTGACCGAAACACGCACCCAAATTGCAAAGTACACCAGGAACGCACCGAGTTTTCGAGCTTGTTGTATTGCATTATATCGCGACGGAGGGTGCGAGCAAGCACGATGGCCACAAGAGCTGTCAGGAAGACGACGACGAGGACGGAGTTGACGATAGACATCCACTGGATACTGGAATTGGAGACTTTTGAAATGAGGTAGTTCCAGCGTGAGCTCCGTGCTGCTCCTTGCACCTCCTGTGGGGAAAATGGGAAAAAAGGGCAATGCCCAACATTAAGGAAACAGGCAGAGAATCGTGCACAGCGTAGAAGGCGGATCCTAACAAGATTCACTGTAGTTGTGTATGGCATAAATAAGCACTATGAATTGAGTGAGTATATAGAATATCTAAGTGGCCCGAGCAGATCGATAACGCGGTGGACCTGTGTGTGCTGCAAGTGGCATGTGTCCAACTAACTTGGCACATGGAGACTGAAGAGAACACGTCTCGGTTAGGGTAATTTACTTAAAAAAACTGTCAAAGCTTACAAAGAGGCTTTTCATTCAGAATTTTTAACCTCGAGACGCCAAGTTTCGTAAACTCACTGTTTTGTTTGACTGACAAGACACGAAATGAAAATCAGGGGCAATCACTAGGGAATCGTTTCATGCATATCGAAAGCATTTGAAAAGCAAGGGATTACAGGCTGAAACTTTATAAGGCAAAGCAAAATTACCGAAAACTGAACGCTGTATGTGTAGATGACTGTGACAGGAATATTAGGATTCTCAAAAAGGCGCAGCGGCTCCACTGTAGAGCAATCCACTTCATTTTCATTATGCACAATACTGCAGGTAAAAAGAGTAGTTGTTACAGGGGAGAAAGAATTGGGTAATGGTGGTCACATAAAGGAACAACGGGACCTAATTGTGGGAACATGAATCCCATTTGGCTAGAATCGGAAGACTAAGGCTAAATATCCTTCATGAAACGATGGGATCACTAAACAGTAAAATAAAACTAGCCAAATAAAACAATGTGGGTTTTAGGCAGAATGGTTCACATTTAACAAGATTTAAACTCAAAAAATTACAGCAATTAAAAAGTGTCTGCTTTCTGTCAGTCAAAACCAGACTTTGGAGAATATCGTACATGGAACCGAAATGTCATCGAAGCAAATGGAATTATGCAAAATATGGAGTAATAAATATATCAAAACCTTTATCACTGAAATGCATCTCAGAAAAATACCAAAGATAAGGGACCTAAAATACACAAAGCTATTTAAACAAACGATGTTTCTGCTTTTGCTTGAGGGTGGATCAAAGCTAAGTGAAGTTGCTGGGGCCCTTAATGGCATGAACAAGAGAACATGGCACTTGATTATCTCAAAAGGCGCACCTCCTGGGGGTAACTTTAACGGAGATTAGATGGTACTTTCCAGGACTCGCTTCAGTGTAGTTTATGTTAAAAGAAAAGTGGTTGAATATGTGGATGGAATTCTGGGGAACCTCTGGGAGCTAAAAGAGCGAAAAAGCGTGGATTAAGAGGTGACAAAGTTTGAAGGAAATAAATGCTATTTAAAATCGAAAAATGGATGACAAAAATGGAGAAAAGAGTGCATTTGGCAATGAAATCCTGCTTTCAATTTAGGTTAGGTACAATTGTGCATCGGTAAAAGTATGTACAAAAATCTGTTGGAAAGTAAGTGAAATAAGTAACTGGTTAATTGGGTTAATTAAAGTACTACCTATGCGTAAGCCGATAAAGGAAATTATTGAAGTATCATGAGACAGATTTAATAGATTTAACTGCAATGAAATATTGTGGTCTAAGACAATTCAACAGGTATTTGAAGTACAAAGGTTGAGCAAATCAAAAAATGCAACTAAAATCTGGTAAATAGTTTCTCGAAAGCATCGTAAATTGCAGGAAAATGACATGACAATTAACCCACAATCTCAGGTCCTTAAAAATCTGTTATCACCGCATAAATGATACAAAGTTGACGCAGTTGCTTGGAAGTTAACGAGGACTGTTGTAGCTTCAACTACCGTGCCAACCTCAGGTAACTTTAGTAAAACAGGCTTTAGAATAGACGCTTTTCTAAAAAAGAATGCACCATACCTGAACTCTGCACTGCACCGGTGGCTTGTACGCATCCGTTTTGAAACAACCAAGAGGAAAATTTCTTTCGCAAACTTCGCCACTTACGGTCTCGTAGCAGATAATAACCGGTATGTTATCGGAAACCCTGCAGATTATATGGGTAAAAGGTTAAAAAAGAGTCTATAACCATGGGACACTTGAAAAACGTGTATTTACCAATAGCGGTTATACGCTTGCTTAATTCCACTAATTAGTTCATTGTAATTTATCATTGATTTCGCATCTTTGGGATCGTACAATCTGCGACAAAGCACGCGACAAGTAGCAGGTGTTTTAAAGTCAATCTAAAAAGCAAAAAAACGTAGCCGAAACACCTTCTGACGTAAATAATGATAGAAAAACAAGCAAGACGCGAAAACGCGTATCATCCTTAATACTCAATCTTACCTCAAAATCTAATCGCGTCAGCCGTTCGCCTAATATTTCAGCACCAAGGTTTGCTGAATAGTATTTGGGGTTTTCAGCAACACATTGGTCAAGCCTATAGTGTAAATATCGGTTAAAATAACCAACTGTGATGGTAAAAATGGGCCAAAATTGAGCGGCGAAGAAAGTCGATTAGCATACACATCAATTTTAGTCTACACACAATTGTCATAAGAGAAAACAGAGCCTACAAGACAACCTCCAACAGAAGAATTCACGCAGTATTCCGCTGTTGAAAATCCAGGCAACGAATTAATTCGCAGAACATTTGTTAAAATAGCAACAAGCAGCAAATATTTCATTACAATAGTGATTATAAGCTGACGCCACTCCCGACACCGATTCGCAGTGGACAGCAAGGTCAATGTTGCCAAAATACTGAGTAAATAGATAAAAACAAATATACTCTTATTACTGCTTTATCCTTCTTCCCTTTGCAATATTTATAATTCCCAATACTTTGAATTTTAAGACGTAATATGCCACTTCCCCTTGAGTACAAAAGAGAAATTGATTGCTAATTGTTTGCTTCAATATTTTTGTACGAATCTGGATGTTGGTGTTTTGCTGTGAACTATAAAGATACAGTCATTTTTTAAGCATCTGGCTACAAATTAGAGCTGATGTAAAGTTGTGTAAATTATAATAATGCATAGTTGATCACCACGATTATTTTTGATTTTTTAATTTCTCGAGAAATCTCACAGCAGTATTTGTACACCAACTTCATGTGCTGCACATTATGCGTACAAAATTAAAAAAGAAGTTAGCACCAGGATTATTAAAATGGATGTCATTTGATTGGTTTGTGAATTGCCTTTCTGTGAAAATATTTTAGATTGATTAATTAAATTCCATTAACAAATTTAAGAGTATTGTGACAAACACAAAAGGTTAAGAATTGGTTTTGACTGGCTGGTAGATTATGTACAAAGTGGATTTATATTTCTAAAATCATATAAAATCCCTCATTTAACAAATCCAGCTCTATAAATATAACATCTTCGACATTATTTTATACATATTCAAAATTGTTTATTAGCTGTTTTCATCTAGGTTCGTTTTGCATAAGGTTTTGTTTCCGATACTTGTTTTTTTTTTCATGAACATTTCAGGATCATATTAAAGTTTTTACAATTTGAGTTCTTCAAAACCAATTTATCATTACCGATACTTTTCGCCCTTTGCACAGGAGAAGCAGAAGACCTTAAGTGCCTGTAGGCGATGCATGATCGCTAAAGGGCTGTTTTAGTGAGATCATATTCACGCGGTCTTGGAAGTTGGAGCAATCGTGACGCGCATCATTCGACCCACGCACCCCGGTCTGGCCTGTTATTTGTCCTGCTCTCCCTTCGCGTACTCTCGCCTTCCTCAAGGCACGCCCGTGAGTCCGAGGGCAACACCAACCCTCCTCGCGGCCATCCCTCTCCCACTCTAACTCCCCCTAAGCTCTGTCCCTTTGAGGTTGTATGCGGTAGAATGGAATACATCCGGTTCTTCCATCTATTCTTCTGTTGTGTGCCTGTTAGCTAACAATGATGGTGGGGCTATCTAATAGGGACAGGATAACAGTCATCTCCCTATTTAGATCCCCTCTCGATAGGCGCGCTACACAATTTTTAGGCTTGCTTACTGGAAGCATCTTTATAAATCTCTGCAAGTTACTAGCTGGAATTCAAATTCTCAAGGAAGGTCAAACCTATGCAATGCCTGATTGCGAGTGGTATGATCATCACTGGTGTTATTTCTCTAAAGTATGAACATTTTCGACTAGATTGCTTACAAAAATGTACATGCTCTCAACTTTATAATGCATTCTTCGTGTTGTAGTGGTACCCAATCATAAATACTTTCAAAGAGGCTACAGAGCTACGGTCAAAACACCTGGAAGTCTAAAAACATGGACACTAGATTTTGATTATTTTCAATGTGTACCAGCAATTAGCTCAGTGTTTTGCTATTATTTATATCCATTTCCTTTGTCAACGCATGTTCGGAAATCTTCGTAACCCAAATTTTCCAAAATTTGCTTTGACTCTGCCTTTACTTTCTCGATGTCTCCATTGTTTAAAATGACGCATCTGAGCGCGCATTTGGGAGTATGTTTCTTTGCAAGTCAATTGCTAAAATTATAAATGACTTTATACTGACATATTTTTTTAGTATGGTAATGCGAAAACCATAACCGAGAATGCTTCTGATATTTCTAACTTATTTGTTTATTAGCACACTAGAACTGGACATAAAGGACTTTAGGTCCATTAACCAGAGTATCTGCAAAAGCTGATCGCGGCAAATGAAATCGACTGCATGTCTGGAACTTGTGGTTATTTTGTGAAATTTGGTAATCAATATTTAAAGAACACCTTAAATCACGACTGGTGAGTGGTTAATTACACATAGAGTGATGCATGATAATGAGATGCCGCACCTACAGAGCATCTACCAGATCATAATCAGACTTAACGATAATAACATTGAAACAATTAAAGGCGCCAATTTGGGAAAAAAATTGAAGACGTTATGATATTAAATACTTTGGAAATTCGAAACTGTCAATGTAAGGGTTTAGTTCTTGCGCTTTATTGCTGCCTGAACTGAAAATAATTTTCTTCTTGACACCAGAGCTGTAGAACATGTTGTTAATAACGTTGTCATTTGGAAAATCACGGTGAATCGAATCTAATTTAGAATAAACGCACTGTTATCACTTGGCCAAAGTTATTCTCGCGTTGCACCATTGATGACCTTTGCATTGACTAATATTTTATGGAAAATCAAGATCACTAGTTTATTTACTTAGCATTCAAGTACAGGAATGGCAGATAAAATGGTGGCTATCGCTCATCGAAGCTCATGAGATTTTGCATTAACAGTCATCAGTAACCTAATTAGTTACCATTTTTGTTAGGGACAGACTACTTGCAACCTGCCCCATTTCACCTTGGCACGCCGGTCTGTCCTCCCATAACTTCCTGCCACCCCGCCTTCCTCATGACACGTACATGGGTCTGAGTGTAACCCTGACCCTCCCAAGGGCCACCCTCTTTCTATCTCCGTCCTGACCTTCTCCCCGACCTATAGCCCCTCTGCATTTGTATGGAATTAATCAGATTCCTTCTACCAGTCTTCTGTCGCATGCCTGGTAGTCATCTCCAATGGTGTGGTTATCTCTGAGGAACGGACTAATGGAAACCTACCCATTTAGGTCCGTGTTTGATAGGCACGTTAGACATTTTAATAAGTCACATAATCACTGCCTGGGACTGAATCAGTTTTTCGCACTGAGTCATATCTTTGTCCCAAACTGGGAAAATGGGGCTTGTGTTATGCATGGGATTTATCTGATGGCACTCCAAGGGCATATGTATATATTTGCTGGCAAATGGCAATGCTTTCTAACGAAACCAGGACTCTAATATTCGTTGAGTAATGGGCCATTCCCTTTTTGTGGTCAAAATTAGAGGTGTGTAGGCTTAATTCTAATTCAGAGTACAATACATACAGGATGAATGCCCATTCAAACGCAGTTGTCCATTCGCTGACTCATGCATTATATCACTTGGTAAACACGCTCATGTCCTCGTCCTTGTGGCTATTAAACGATTGTCTTGAATGCGCCTCCAGTTGCGATGTTACTTCAGAGAGCGACATCAAGTTTTCCCGGTGCGCTGCTACAGCTGATGGCACGCAGTGTGCCACTGGCGTTTTAACTCAGGCGACCGGAAGGCATAGGAACACGGGGAACACCGCCATCACTGCGACCATGCCGATAAAACACGGCAATTTAGCTGCAGCATAACGCTTGCAAGACTATTTATTATTCACTCACATGAGTTACTAAACAGACTTTCAGATGAAAAGATTTTCTCGAAAACGCGACTTCTAAGCGGCCCGATGAAGGTCGCAGATTCATGAAACGTCATTTTGAAGGACAAATTCGGCAATTTCATAGCTTAGACACAATGTTTTTACACCTAAGCGATCATTTTTTATACAAATGCTAACAAATTTGCCTGTTAAATGGAAATTAATTATGAAGAGTGCGCCCTGAAATACTTTGTGACATTTAAGCAGAGTCCTCAGCACAATTTGCTTCCGGCTCATTTTCATCTGCTTTTATCAAGTAGGAAGAACACCAGACTTGTGGTGATCGTGGCGTTGTGGAATTTGTACCTCTGAGCTAATTTTCATTCTTAAATTGCAGGCTTGGTGCTTGGTAAACAGGCGCCATTAACACCACTTCACAAAACGCAATTTTGACCTCAAACCCTCTTCTGCGATTGGACAACAGGCTACAGCAGACGCACATAATTTCAAGTCGATAAATAACAGCAATGGATGCTTCGTGACAGTCTGTTTTTGTTCCGGACCAGACATACTGCCCAAAGCTTGTTCTGGTGACTAAACACACGCAAACATCTATAGCATAAGAAAACCGCTGACAAAGCCACAAGACACCATTCACACATAACAGAAATACAAGACTTTTGTAGGAGAAAGACGTCTGATTTGGCCATCAAGGGGATGAGGTGTTGACTTAATACAAACTTAGATAAGAGGCAGCCATACAGACAAAAAATAAACCAATATTCTCTACAGCATCGTCTGTGTCGGGCCCATTAGGCGAACCACGTCACTCTGGCTGGTCGTTCGTTTCTTCGCACTCCTCCGTTTGGCCGCCTTTCTTCTCGTAACACCTACGTATCAGCGAGACAATTTAAGCACACAGTGAACGCCCCACACGCTCTACAAAATAATTCTTCGTGGCCCCGGCGTAGCTAATGCTATTCGCTACCAACATACGTAGCAAAATAACAAAGGTGAAATTGTCTAGTAATTCAATGATTGCATATTAAATGCAAAACGCGATGCAGCATTTCTAATCAAGGTCCGTACAAAAGAACAAAAGATTATCAGCCAAGAGCTCAGTAGTGGTTACATCAAAAAGTCATAGACACCCACACATATTTAAAATAGACATATGACAAAATAAAAAAGAGGAAACGTTTGTGTTGAGAAGCGACGTCGGTGTAAGTCAGCAAATAGTACCAGTAATCAAGACTAAGCAGGCACCTCTAGGGTAGAATCATTCGCCTTGAGCCGCGAGCACTCGCTGGTGCATGTCGGCAGCGGAGGGGGAGAAAGTAATCACATCCTGGTAGCTGGGAGGGGGGGCTGAATTGACCGCCTCATCGCTTTCCCCCTCCCCCTCCCCCTCCTCCTCCTCCACCTCCCCCACCGCATCCACGGGGGGCGGCGGCGGTGGCAGCGGCGACAGGAGGCAGCAGGTCGCGCTGACGGAATCAGCACGCCTAGCGGGGAGAACCGCGGTCATGGGAACCACGTCCTTGTAGGCAGGCGGGAGTTCAGAGTTGAAACTAAGCGAAAGCAAAATGGACTTCATACTGGGCAGAGGAGCGCTCTTTAGCAGTCTGGGGGGCTTAGTTGACCGGGCACTTGGGTTATTTTGTGTTATCAATCAAAAAAATTGACAAGTGGCCGAGGGCAAAGTTGGACAAGTTATATAATATGGTGCAGAAGCTCAAATTCGTGTAATAATAAGCATACGTTTGGTTGATAAAGGCGTAAGGTAGCAAACGGAATTAGAGCAATACTAATTATAGTTTAATCTTCATAGCAGCATCAGGCCAAATCCAAACGACTGATGAGACAGTTTAAAGTATAAGACAGCACGGTCACGCGAAACGTGACATTACGTAGTTAAGTTAGATAAACAATCGGTTATAATGCGATTTTCAGAGCCCAGAGTTTAGAATACAAAATCGGAAAAAAAATTGGTAACTAGGAGTGAGCAGTGGACGGCAGCATTCCCACGGTTTAAAAGTGCTGTCTGAAAAGTGCATGCCAAGCATGGTAGTACACATAGTTGGGTTGAACGACAAGTAAGCACGAATTAAGGTGATTCATTTAGCACCACCGGCACCACAAATTCCACAGGGTTCGAGAAGAAAAAGCGAAAAACGTTCTAACAAAAAGAAATGAAATTGTTTAAATTTAACGTCCACCATGTCATAATAAGTCGGTTCATGGAGTGACTAGGTGGTGAATCGTGTTGATTCACTTTTGCCGCATACGTAAACACAGCACCCACTTTGTCCCCGCGGTCCGACACCAGCTTGATCAAACACCCTCATCTGCCAATCAAATCACTTGCACTTTTACCAGTTCACGTGAACCGAGTGGGTCGACAACAGGCAAGAAACCGCACGCCCAGAGAAACGACAAAACCGACAGCAGAGTTAGGAGATCGGGCAAAATGTTGAGCCCCCCCTCTCGCTTCACTGAAAAAAAGACGCGCGATCGGTAAACGTACTAATTTTGATATGGCGGGGCAGCTAGATTGGGACCAGTCGCGTTCAACACGCGTCTGCTGTCTCCACTGCCGCCGTCCTCGTTGGCGTTTCTGCCACGGCCTCGCCGGCCGGCGCGACTGCGCGAGGTGCCCACCAGGAAAAAGCGCACACAGCAAAGCACGATGGCTACAAACGCGGCAGTTCCTAGGGCCCCGCCGAGAATGGCGTAGAGATTCGACGTGGTGGCGGAGGCGGCGCGGGATTGCAGGATTTCGGAACATGGACGCAGAATTTCGCCATTTTGTGCGTGCGTGTAGACGTTTTCTAACGAAGAGCAGGGTCGACATTCAATGTGTTCGGCATTTTCTGAATGGGGAAAAGCAAATGTCTGAGCAAGTGCTGCTACCTCCCGCGCACAGTAGGGCTGTAAACAAGTACTTGCAAACATCTCGACATGAACAGCCACATTTAAATAGTTACAGTGTAACACCACCGCCTCTCCAGTCCACTGAAGTATAGGAAAACGTCAGGTAGAAAGAGAGGCAGGCTGTTTACGACCCATGGCTTTTAAACCAGGCGAATTATGGAGTTTTTCTTTACACAAATGCACTTTTTTAAACCGATTAACGGCGATGTCATAGACAACCAAACGATGTGAGACAGGAAAGTCTTCGGCAATTTCAATCCCTAGCAAATTTTCCCGCACCAGAGACAGGGCAAACAAATGAGGGGCGGCTGCGGACACATAGATGGCTCCGATTCCGGAAGCACAAGATCAACGAGAGACGATGGATAAGATTTAAAAGTGCGATGGAACTTTGCTTAACCTGGTGTGACCCGCACCGTTTGGGTACAAACCCTGCGCATTACTCGAAGCTGACACTGCCCGCATACCCTTGCTTCTAGGTGCCGCGACACGGACCCACACATTACGCGGGCAACACAGCTCTTCCGAAGAGGCACACTCGTAAACTAAGCCAGCATATATTACGAAGACAACACAAAAGCATTGCAAGTGATACTCGAACACAAAAACCAAAGATGTGGTGTTTGGGGACCCGACGGCACAAAACCCTCTGATTCTGCAAACTCACTTGCGACCTCCTTTACACCTGAACTTAGAGTTCAAACAACCCATTCATGCGTTATAACATTATGCCACAACAACAGCTATAACACTGTTGAAAAACATTAGAATACAATCGACGACATTCGCAGGAACTTGAGAGAACAACGGCGATAGCGCAGCACACGATTGGGCAAGAAATAATCAGGATAAATAACGAGGCCGGCGTAAAACCGCCATGCATGTGCAAGTCATTTGCATAAATTAGTGCTGAGAAATGAGACCGAAAAGAATAGAAGTGCATCGAAAAAACCGGAGGAAATGGGTGAAAATACAGAGAATGTTGAGAGAACTCTAGACTAAAGCTGACTCACGAATAGATTTCAACATAAACCCAAACCACCAGCCCTCCCCGCGGACAGCATCGTGGCCATGAGGACCAAACAATAGTCATGTGAAAAGAACAACTTTCACTTGGTGACGGGATACGCGGACGAGGCCCTCCCAATTAGTAATACGTAAAAGCAGACTTCAAAATCTGGCGTTAATTGCAGTCCCCAGCGCGTAAACATCGTGAAAGTAACATTAATGAGTCCCGTAAATGGACACTAATGATTACTGTAGTAGCTAAAGCTATAGCCTCGAAAGTTGGTACATCAACAGGGCTACTTTTTAACAAAATGCTTCTGACCAATCCAATGCGTAAACAGTGCAACTGGTGTCAAATTACATTATTGGCATTGTGGACCGGACACAGCACGAAGTAACCAAAGAAGAAATGCGAACAAAACGACAGACAATCAGCCGTTTATGGCGTTATGAAGAAGGTGGATCCCTAGCGTGAAAAGGGCGTCAGTTGTATAGGAACGGTTAACAGCGATCTCTGATGGAACATCGCAAAGAGACGAGTAATCGAGATGATCGAATGACTCCGTATTCGCTCACGCTGGTTAACAATGCTCGTGCGCTGATCGCCACAGCTTTTTTTTTCAAAAAGTACTAACGACAAGTGATTTAGACAAGGCTGCTGTTCTGTATAAAATCTGGTATGTGCTTGAATCAAACGGAATGAGGATGACAATTGCGGCAAGCGATAAAGAAGTATAGGTTTTTCGTCAGCTGATTACTCATGATTGGAAATTAACGTTAGACTATAGTTACACAGCCGCATTGTGATTTAAATATTTAAATTGAAATACAAGGAGTTGTTTAATAATGCGATAAATAAAGGTTTACCCATCAAACTACAACTGCAAGTTAAAAAGACCGATGTTAATGCACATACAGGAGAATGATTGCGCGAAGTAAATTCCTCCAGCCATACTCAGAATGAAGGAATAGAGTAAAACTAGAAAGGTGCTGCATACCCCTACATATTTTTCCCGTGAAAATTTCAATAATGCTACGGAAACCCTGACATCGACAGATTCTGCTGCGTTCCTTCATTGGTGTAATTTTCTCGGGAGCACCTTTTTCAGGGACGCGAAGGACCATTGTAAGAGATTCCGATTTGTTGATACAAAACTCCTTATGAACCTGCTCCTTGGATGGATGCTGCCGCTTTTTCTGTGTTCTCTTTTCCATTGGCTGGATACGTTCTTGACAGGGTTCCACAGAACATTGTTTCCAAGATTCCCAAGAACACCAACCCGATGGCAGTCTTATAGGCATTAGATCGGCCTGAAACAGGTATTAAAAACATTGTTTAAACAGATTAAAACATTTTAACTGGAATAAATCTAGAAAAACCGGCGATATGCAGACCGGATTGCAGGGAAAGTTGCAAACCAGCCACAAGCATGGTAGGTGCGAGAACATTTTTTATGGCATAAAGATAATCTGACATGCACAGGATTCACATAACCAATGCAAGTGTTGCCGTGATGGAAAGTCAAAAAAGAAAATATAGACCTCCCTTAAAGCTTAATTAAATAATTTTGACAAGAAACACCCAAGGAAGAAATGATACAACTGAAGGGATCTCAACCGTTACTTATGTTGTGAGGAGAGCAGCAGTTTAGCGTTATAATTCAGTTAAAATAGGAACACTTTAAGTTCAATCTCTAAACAAACGACACTATGTCAAGTAAATTCGCGTTCGTACATGACTAGTAAGAATGTTTGTGTGTTGATCATCACAAATCGAATCACCACACGAATTGCCGTCTTCAGAAATATATTTGATTGTCACATAAAGACCCAAAGAAAAAAGCTACAAGGCTTGTATTTCTGAGGGTTGCCAGGGAGAAGAGTGTACACATCAACAGATGGACAGAAAAACCATTTAAGTACGAGATGTTATATTAGAATGAAATAATTAGTCACATTAAAACATGATAGCAAAATAAAATGTTTCACGTCCCCAATGCCCAACATTATAGGGCATTTCCTAACTGTGCAATTTTCAAGACGAGGGAAAATACATAATATCTACACAATGGCCGTGAAATTCGATAATGGAATTAAAAACTGCAGCAAAAGACAAAAAATTATGCCAACTTGCAGCCTAAAACATTTGCAAACCAACTAAAAAATCAGTAACTCCCCACAGACACAGGCATCAATTTAGATGCTGCACTTGATAAGGCTGTCAGAAAAAAAAGACAAAAAAGATAGATAACCAAATCAAAAAAATCCACCATTCATACCACTTAAAGCAAAACAGACAAAATAATACAACCACAATAACTGAAAAGACCATAAAATTCGCAAAAAATAGGTCAAAATATGTTATGGAAAAAGCTTACATAAACACAAAATCAAATTCCACACGAAATATAACCGAATAAAACAAGGCATATATCGAGAATAAAATTGTTGCAACTAAAAATAAGCACTACCTTACCATTTCTATAGTTGTAAAACTTCTTTTATAATCCAAACAGTAGGCTTTCAAGCATCAGAGTCCAAAATGAAGGAGCACAGAGAATTGGTGCAAGTTTATAAAACCAAATAAACACAACATTTTAAACAAAGCTGATCTAGCATGTGTTTAGGTTCCTATTTCGTTTATAATATTTACATGAGGCAGGTATAATGTTTTTCTAAGCATTTCACTCCTCTAAAACCAGCAAAGGATTTCAAATTAATTTATTGTTTAGGCAAAGGCGATACCGTCTTGGGCATTCCTTTCAACCATCATTTATTCCTTATGTACAAAACTAAAACACGTTTCTTGAGAAGGATTAAACAATGGCGTCTAAAATGTCAATTGCTTGAAAAAAAATGGGATTTCTTGGTTATTTGCTGACGTTCGCAGACGTGGTTTAACTTCGAGTGATGCTTTACAAAAATAAAAACTAAAAGACGGCCTATGCCAGCGAATTTTTGCGATTGACACGACCTGCTTATAAGCCATACAACGAGTGAGTCCGTCATCTGTTCACAAACCAACTTTTACGGTGGGTTTACCTGCCGTGCATCGGACCACCAAAGAGGAACATGTCACCGCATTACAGGCACTGGTCTGTAGTGTCAGCACAGGTGTTATGTCAGCTGTACAATCCAAGAAGGAGACTGACGAGTTGAGAGTGCCCATCATGAGGCACTACCCACCTTTGGAGTTCGAACCAGGTGTAAGGCACGATGTCAATGAAAATAAAACAAGTCAGTTTTGTATTTAAGAGGGCTGTACAATAGGCTTGAAGGGTGTAGCTCAATTTCGAGAAGTCTCGCCCTTAGTGTTGCTCTCTGAGAGGACACTTATCTTGTCGAGCGCTGCTGCTGTCTCAGTCAAAACGCTTCTTTCCACGGTGTCTATTCGAATGGGCTGGAAGTGCTTGAGTGTCCCATTCGGCGGCTTCTCAGCCACTTCTTTGGCGACGGATATTTTCTCACGGAATCGCGTGACATTTGAGTTTAGTGCCTCAATACAACGCTCAACCAGGGCTGCTTGTTTCTTGCGTTGTTGCTTTTTGTCTTTTTTCTTAGGTGCCCGTGGTTTCTTGTTTATGCGCGCCATAGCCGTTAGCACCTAGCGGCAGAAAACAAAGTCGATGACTTAAGCAATGTGCTACAGCAATCCCACTAGTTGTTAAATGTTACAACGAGCGTACAGCCATTTGAAAGAATCTCAAAATTACAGCCCAGCCATTTTCGGGGTGCAGAGCCTACAGACAACTAGGAAATCAACTAAGCCTTTTTTTGAAAACCTATCCGTTATTTGCTCTCAAAACAACCCTACGTCGTTATCGGGGACTCTATCACATCGACATGTAACGCGTATGAGTGATTAATTGCATCAGATGGGACTTATGCAGGCTTTGCGATCCGTGTTTCAAATTATTAAAGTTTTTTTTCCAGAAGACGTAGTCAAGTAACAAATGACAGAAAAATACAAGTGTTCAGATTCAATATTTCACACTATTTGTCTCCTAATATATCATGGGTCTCAGTAATTGCAAAGCAGCGTGAAAATGCGCATCTGCCAACAAAGACAAAAGAGTTGGAGTTTAGCCACGTGTACGCGGCGAAGCGGAGGTTTGAATAAAAACCTCATTTGTGGAGTTATTCTTAGATAAAATTCCAACTTCAGCATTTGTCGTAAATTGTTGCACGATCACACATTACGATGCACTGATGCTTATCACATGATATGCATAAATAAAAATCAAAAAAGTTGAGGACTTACCGTTAACCCTACAGGTGAGAATTTTACACAACCGTGTGGTGTTATTTGGTGTGGCGTCGGATTAGGGCGCAGACATATTGGACCACCTGGCCGCAGCCAATCCTGTGTCTCTCTGCAATCCAATGG